ATAATAACCACTTGTTCACTTGTTCAGATGTAAGGATGATGTAGCAGCTGCCAATGGTTACACATGTAGCGGGAATAATAAGGCACTTCATGACCTGTGCACAAATAGGTAATATTTGTGAATTTCTTTTCTCCAATTTGATAGCCCGATGATTCCTCATAACAACTTCATGAGTTGATCTCAAATTTCTATAGGTTGAAAAAATAATGGAACTCTTTAACACATATGACGAGTTGAGCTCCACCAGGACTCCATCAATCATGTTCAATGAGAGGAGAATGATGAGGAGATTTGGAACTTTGGACGGCCGTTCACAAAAAACCCTGCCCACTTACACATATATGCACAATCAAATTTCTGAATGAGGATGTTGAAAAATTTCTGATGAATGGTTGACGGCCTTTTATTCAGTCGAAAAATATAATGTAAAATAAAATATAATATATTTGTATGTCTTAGTTTTAAAACAAAATAACCTCACTTTCAATTTTGTGTGTTAGAGTCCAATGTTGTGAGAGATTGTCGTAGTATTGTTTTGCATAGACTGTTAAGTGAAGTGACAAACTTGATATCAATGGTTGTGAGAGCATTGTAGTATCGTTTTGTGTTGACGGTTATCTTAACCCGTATTGAGTGAGCATATTTGATGACCACTTATTTCATATCCGTAATCCAGAAATGCTATGGTGTTATCGGATGGTTCTCTTATGGAGCTATTTATAACTTTAGGTATTGACACGTGTCCCATGTGTATTTATTGCATGACACATGTCAATATATTATTTGTGGATAACTATGGATGACTCCATAAACCGAGCCATCCGATGGCTCCATAGCAAAACCGTACTCATTGTTGTTAGATGACATTTTGTAAGTGCTAATATATTTAGTTTTCTACGGTCATCTAAATTATTATTTATTTATAATAAAATATTTTGTAAGTTTTTTTTACATTTTTCATATAAAAAGGCTAAACTCGGCTCGAGAAACCACACTAGTATTTATCACAACAAAACATTGAAATTCGTATTTACTTTCAACACTTCCATGTGGCCTGGCCAAGTTGATCCATGACATGGCCACTAGATGTGCAATCCAAATTGTGCACAATAAAAAATAAATTAATTATATTTTAATTTTACGAATGTTTATGAGATAACTAATTCATAAGAAAATTAAACTAATTAATAGATTATGCTATTGACCCAATGACGCGAACGTGGGTGTAAGTTTAGTATTGAGTCGAGATATTTTGCATATTAATTAATATACTTTTAATATGTGATTCACAAGATATTAAATATCATAAACGAATGATGTTATTACAAAAAAAGTATATATAAAAATAAAACCATACTCTTAGTCTGTACAGTCAAATACAAAGCAATAAAATCACAACAATTTCACTTTAAATTTTATTCTCATTATATTTAAAAATAATTTCACCTTTTATCCTCAACATATTGAATTACTTTTTATCAAAATACAATTAGATATGATAATATTTATATGTATTTTCTAAAACATTAATAATAGGTTTTCTAAAATATTAAGCAAGGTTTAAGTGAAATGACAATGTTTAATCTAAAACCGCCATCTTCATTCAGAGAGTATTCTCTAAAATATTAACTATAGGTTGGAGTGAAATGTCCATCTTTAATCTACACGGACAAACATAATACGCCATCTCCGTTAAAATAAAAGAATATAGTTAATATATACTGAAGTAATGAACATCATTAAAATATATTAGACAGACAAAGTATGGTAGAGATATAGAAGTTTTCTGATATTTTTATTATTATTATTACGACAAAATATATTAAAATCTATATAACTAGAACAAAAAAAGTTATTCAATATGAATATAGGTTAAACAAGGGGAATAGGACTGTAAAAGTTATTCAATATGAATATAGGTTAAACAAGGAAATAGGCTATACAGTCCAGTCCGTAGTTGAAACTAGCTTAATTGAGATTATGATTTTTTCCGGGAATGAAAAATAAATGTAAAATTTGATTAATAATAATAAAAATAATAATAAATGTAGGTTGGGAGCAGTCTCAACTTTTTGGTGAATTTGTATTTTATGTTTTCTTTTATTTATGTGGAAAATTTGCTCAGTAAAAAACTGGATAGAGATGAGGATGACTAATTTATCGTAACTAATTCGAATATGTTAGGTCCTTTTTTTAGTTTACTTACTCTAATTTTTAATTCCAGCTGATTTTTTTCACTACATTTAATGATACATGAAATAAATAATTACATAATAAAATTGAAGCAAAATTGTAATTTCAAAATTTTAACTTATTTCACAAAATAAACACATTTAGTAGTGTATATTTGTTAAAATAATAAATAAAAATAAAAATTAATTTGAAACAAAATAAAATTTGAGAAAAAAATTGAAGTGCATTGAACAATTGTGTACTATATTAGCGCAATATTTTTTTCCATTATCATGCGAGGTATAACGTAATTTAGAACATATTTATCGCACAACTTCGAAGTGAGTTGCATCGTAGAGTAGCGTTACTCTTAGACTTTTTATTTTTATTTTTTGTCTTATGACTATAAAATTATAGGGCGTGATGGGATATAGAAATTTTCACAAAAAATGAGTATACCCGTTTAAATTGGAAAAAATTGATCCAACCAATATTTTTTTAGACCATATATGCAGGGTGACGCCCACTGCTAAAAGAAGATGAAAAAAAATTTGGTGGCACATCTTCTCACCTACACCATTTAAGTCCATTTATTATAAAAAACCTAAATGTGTTTATTATTAAAAAGCACCCACCTTAATTTCATCTCCAAAATGTATCGGCTTTAGTAGAAAATTATTGTAAGATTGTTTCTCAATGATGAGATGTTATTACAAATTTCTGACATCATTGGGCATATATCTCATAAAAAAAATATCCATAACAAAATAGGTCGGGAGCCAATATATGCTGAAATTTGAGATAAATGGCAGCCCCTTGTGGTCAAACTAATTACACAAGTAAAACAAATAGGTTTTAAACCAATTAATAAGCATGGTGGATTTTACGAAGAATTGGTCATCACATAAACAATGTTTGATCAATTTGATTTTGGAAACTAAAAATTGTGGTTTAATAGTCATACGTGGGTTCAACTTTTTGCCATATAATTTGTTCATTTTATCAATGTTTTTAGGTGCGCTTGTGAGTATAAATTCTTTTTCAATAATCATCATTTTAAGCAATTTTTGATCCACTTGATTAAAATATGAGAGTATCACCTTCAAACATAAATACTTTAGTGATATGGGCCAGTTCTTAGTATTATATATGAAAACGCAAGGGTACTTGAGAAGTTGACACGTGGATAGGTTTGTGGGGCGCGTTTTTTCCTTCGTGCGCGTTGCTCTTTTTTGGTCAGACCTTCTGTACCTAAACGTCGTCGTGTAATTGTTCAAAATGCAACATAAAAGAACATTTTTCAGAGTTTCATTCTTCACAAACAATTCACACGCCTCCAAACCCTAAGAGCATCCACAATGCTTTGGGTCTCTTTTTGCATATGTGGCAAATAAATAGACTTAAGTCTATAGTGACATGTACAAATCCAAGCTAAAAAATCTAAAATTTATCTAATGCAAAAAAAAAAGTACGAAGTCTAGAATACCTAACAACCAATAAAAATATAACAATAGTAAATGATTACTATTGTTAGGTTCACACTTCGGTCTAAAATAGACCCCAAGAGTGGACTTAGTCTCTTTTTTTTTTTTATTGCCATATAAGCTAGACTAGATCTACTGTTAATTGCATTGTGAAACATTTTTTTATAAACTAAGTTTATTTCTTACATGGCATGTGATTTTTTGCCAAGAAATCCAAAGCATTGTGGGTGCTCTAATACAGCAAAATATCTCTTTTTTCTCACAGTAGATGAGAAAAATGCCCGTCGCCTTAAAACAATTCCCAATAACCTTATACCGATATCAGGTTCTCGCTTCAGGCACACACTGCCCCTTAAAGCATCTGCATCGCTCTTCATTTTTATCTCGTTTAAACGCCCCTCCCAAGTTAATTCGGATGCGGCTCATCCGTTAAAAGGGGGGGACCACCTGTTTGTTCAATTGCATTAACACGTTCAAGCTCCTTTTTCATTTCTTTTTTCTTTTTTTTTTAGTTTTAAAATCTTACTTTATTTTAGCATGCGCAGCATGCTTATTTTTTTTTATTTTTTTTTTGTTTTAAAATAAATATTTATTAACTCTTTTTCCTTTTTGTTTTTTATATTTTATTTATTTTTTATCTATAAATATAGCTGAGTTTGCCACTTATTTTGCACCAAAAAATTTGTCACTTCTGTTACACGAGAAAATTTAGCAACTATTCATTTGCCTAAAAAAAATGGATCCGAATAATAGGCAAAATTTTCAAAATTTTTCAAGTTCTAATCCTAACAATCCAGATAAAATTCCATACATCCGAAATTCACAAACTCCGCAAAATTTACCATTTTCACAAACTCCTTATCATGCACAATTTTTCCCACAATTCCCGTCAAATTTTCCTTTTATGCAACAACAATCCCAAAATTATCCAAATTCCACCAATATTCAATATTCACAATATCCTCCACAAGTATTATTTCAAAACCCGCCGCCTGAATATTGGCAATACATAAGTAGTCAAAATCTGGTGCAATCTTCTCCGCAACAATCGAGTCAATCTTCCGGATCTCAAATGAGGAAAGAACCTGATACTCAAACATACGTTCCAGAAACACAATTCCAGGATTGTGAAACAACTATTAATGTTGAAATCCCGAAAAACACGCGTGTTGCTGCTGAAGGCCGGAAAAAACGTCTACAATGGACAAAGGAAGAGGATGTGCAATTGGCAAAAGCTTATGTGACAATAAGTGACGATCCAATTACCGGTAATGATCAGAAGGCCGAAGCGTTTTGGGTACGTGTTGCAAACTATTATAACGAAAATACACCTTCTGATTATATTCACAGAAATGCTAATATAATAAGATCTCACTGGCATAATACGATTCAAAAAAAGGTGTATCGATTCAATGAGTATTATAACAGTATTTACAGTGTGTATCGAAGTGGTTGTAGTGATGAGGATATATTAAGTCGGGCTTACGAAAAGTATCGTATTGAGAATGACGGTGTAGCCTTCAATCTTGAGCATGTATGGAGAATCCTTAAAGATCGTCCTATGTACACTCCACAGTGTTCTAATGATATTTGTGTTGAGAAAAAAAAGACGAGAATTGATGAGTCTGGTGCCAGCAATACTTCATCAAAGGGGGATGCAAGCATTGACTTAGATGAACTTCATGAAGTGGCTCGCCCCATCGGACAGAAGGCAGCCAAACGAAAGGCCAAGGGGAAAGGCAAATCTAACCTTGATGACATGGCTACAGAATACAACAACATGGTTAAGCATCTTGCTGAGTTAACTAGCTTGAAAAAAGCTGAAGTTGAAGTTAAAAAAGCTACTCTTGAGGAGAAGAAACAGAGAAATCGTCGGAAAGACTATGATATTTTAATGAAGGACACAAGCCACATGACTCAAGAGCAACGTATTTCTCATGAAAAAAATGTGTCAAGTAATTCGAGAGAAATGGAACTTGTAGACGTTGTATTATCTGTTTTAATTATCATTGTATTTTTGTTTGTTGTGATTGGAGGTATTGAACTTTTCGCTTGTATTTCATTTAACTTGTTCTTGTTCTTATTAAGTTGTTAGTCGATCTTTCATTAAATTGTTCTTGTTCGAAATTAAATTTATAGTATGTCTTTCCACTTAAATTGTTCTTTATATTTGAGAGATATATTGTCTTTTAATCAATTTGCTGGTCAAAATCGATATGTCAGAAGATAAGATATGGTTTGGAAAAGTTAATCAATTTGCTGGCACAAATAAACATGTCAGAAGATAAGGCATGGGCTGTGGCACGTTTATCCATTTGATAACTCAATTAATGTGTCAGAAAATAAAGTATGGGTCGTGAATGACAGCCATATGCAATTGATGTCTATAATAATCAATTTGCTGGTCAAAATCGATATGTCGGAAGATAAGATATGGCTCTGAAAAGTTAATCGTTTTGCTGGCACAAATAAACATGTCAGAAGATAAGGTATGGGCTGTGGCACGCTTATCAATATGATAACTCAATTAATGGTCAATATACATATACGTTGATGTCTATATATTCAAAGCAAACTCACATATATTTTCTCATTCTGCAAATCATAGTTACACACTTTAAATTCAATTAGAATCCTCCAAAAATGTCTCAAAATTCATATAGATCCGAGTCTAATTCATCATCATCCACAGACAGTGAAGATGGTGATGACACTAACGATTTAGAAGTTGAAATGATTTCATCAATCGTTCAACGAAGCCACGAGTTACTTCAAGCATATCAACATGAAACTGAAGTTCGTAGAAGAAGAAGGTTCATCCAGAGAAATCGTGAAGATGGGCATGACAGACTTGTAAGTGATTATTTCTCTGACCATCCAGTCTATCCGGATCATTTATTTCGTAGACGTTTCCGTATGCGAAGAGAATTATTTCTTCGAATTGTGAATGCACTTCAGACACGATCATCATATTTCCAGCAAAACATTGATGCAGTAGGACGACAAAGTTTGTCACCACTTCAAAAATGCACAGCAGCTATTCGTCAGTTGGCTTATGGAGTCCCAGCTGACCACCTTGATGAGTATTTACGTATGGGTGAGTCAACCGCTATCAAATGTCTTTTTAAATTTTGTGAAAGTGTGGTTCAAATTTTTGGTGATGTATATTTGAGAAGACCGAACAGTAGCGATGTTCAAAGACTCCTCCAAATGCATGAAGAAAATCATGGTTTTCCGGGTATGCTTGGAAGCCTTGATTGTATGCACTGGGAATGGAAAAATTGTCCAGTTGCTTGGAAAGGGCAATTCACAAGAGGGCATGGGTCTCCTACGATTGTCCTTGAAGCGGTTGCTTCATACGATTTATGGATATGGCATGCCTTTTTTGGTGTTGCAGGATCACGTAACGATATCAATGTATTATATGAATCTCCTCTATTTAATAATGTATTGCAAGGAAATGCACCAAACGTTCATTTTACTGTCAATGGCACGCAATATGCAAATGGGTATTATCTTACAGATGGAATATATCCAGAATGGGCTACGTTCGTAAAGTCTTTTCCTTGCCCGTCAGATCCTAAAAGAAAGTTATTTAAAGAAAAACAAGAAGCAGCTCGAAAGGATGTGGAAAGAGCATTTGGGGTGCTTCAGTCTCGATGGGCAATTGTAAGAGGTCCTGCTCGGTTTTGGTATAGAAGAAAACTGAAATTTGTTATGTTGACATGCATTATTCTACACAATATGATTGTTGAAGATGAAGGAGATGTAGTAAGACATTGGCACAATGACGAGGATGAAGAGCCCGCACAACCTGTCCAGGGGTCAAATCGAGAATTTCAAAATTATATTCGTAGAAGTTCAGAGATACGAGATAACACAATGCATCATCAACTTCGTGCGATTTAGTTGAGCATATTTGGACTCATTTTGCCAACTAAAAAAATATTTTCTATAAATGTACTATTTTTTTCTTGTGTAATCTTAATTTAAATTATTTTGGTATTGTAATGTTCTTTCATTTTCATGTATTTAATATTTATTATTATAATTTAAAAATATTAAAATTTATTTTTATTGAGAATAGAATATAAAAAATTATATTGAATGAGTGGATAATGGGTCCCACATATGTATTTAAATGAATGTGTAGGAATGTGGGTGTGTCTTTAAATGGAGAGAGATTTAGTGGAATGATGATGTGTAGATGATGTGGAGGAGAGATAGTGTTACTTTTTGATTGAATGATTGATTTTTGTGTTACGGATGTGGATGCCCTTACTCCATTTAATTTCCCACCCCACCTTCCTCTCTTAGCTTTTGCTGCCCAAATCTAGGTTGTACGATTCGAAAATGTTCAGCACGCTGAAGGACGACAGGTACGCCGGCGGCCGAAGAACCGAAGAAGGAGGCTTCATATTTTGCTGCCTTTTTGCTTCTATTTTTTTTTCCCCGATTTTTCATTTTTTTAGGGTAAAAAAGGTTATATTTCAGTTTTTCTTTTAGGGTCGGGAAGGCACTGGAAGCTCCACTTTACTAATCCCCGTCAAATTCTCCTCCCCGAAACCCCGATTCCCCAAAAATTATGAACCCCCAAATTCTCATCCGGCGAGAGGCCCTCAGCCCCCGCCGCCGCGGCACCAAGAAATCCACCCCCACCGCGTCGACACATCCGTTTTCTTCATCCAAGAAGATCCCAAGCGGCCCATTAAAGCAGACGAAGCCCCGACCACCCCCGCTGTTTCCGACCAAATTCCCGGAGTTCGCCAGAGCCCCCGGTGGCCCGCACGACTGACGGAGCTAGATCTCAGATATACGGCTCGTCCAACAGTGGTGCACGAGATGAAGCCGCCGACCGGCGCCGGCGCAGTCCGAGGTCTCCACCTCCGGCATCAATGGCGGTTGTGGGTTTCAGGTATTGTGGTCGGCCATACGACTGAGAACTCTGGTCAAGGTCGTCGGACGGATAATTGTTACGTTGTGGAATTAATAGATGTTTTTATTGTTATTATATTCTGGAATTAATAGATGTTTTTATGGTTTTGCTGCATTCAGATTTGCGTGGATTTACAAGCAGTGGTTACAAGAGGGATTGTGTGCTCTGATAACTCCCAAAATTCATGTCTTTAGCCCTTTACGTTACATGAGGAAATTGATAGCATGATATTAAGCTTATATGTTAAATTTGGTATCTTGGGTCGTTTCATAAATATATGCTTCTTTTTATGTTGCTATATTTGATTCATAGGATGTGAAAGTTGAAATGGAGGACATTGAAGAAGATGAATTGTGGTTGATATAAGATAGTGTCTATAAGATGAACCCGCTCCCAGTTATTTGGTACATTGATATATATGATTACTGCATAAAGACTAAGGTTAGAATCATCTCTCCGTTTTGCCTCTGAAGTTTGAGTGATTAAATCTCATTTGTTGATGATATCAATTATGTTACTATTTGAGGGTGTACAAAACATTAAATAAAAAAACCATCTCCAGCTCCTAAGTGGAAGGAACTCATCTTTTTCCTTAATAACTGAACTTGTTTGTGTGTGTGTGGGTGTATGTGTGCGCTCATGCGTATGCTTGTCAAATTGCAGAGGAGAAGCTGTGTGCCACCAAACTATATGACACATCAATCTAACATCAATGAGTTAATGAGGGAGGATCCTTATCGACCGGCTGATTGAGGTAAAAAAGAAAAAAAAAAAATATCTTAAAGTTCTGTTCAATTTCCTAAAACTGAAATCAAGCATTTTTCCTTTTTCACGTTTTTAATGCTTTAGTGTCCTGTTAATATTACATGCTTACATATATACGTGCACTACAAAATCGAGCTCGTGCACGAGTCATTATATCTGATACCGAGCATAATCAATAGATTCTTGGTTGTGAAAGGCCATCTTCAGAAAGAAGCTCCAGCTTGTTTGTTCGGGTTGCTGCTATTCTGATTGCCTGCAAGTATGAAGAGGTTTCGGTCCCCATTGTGGATAAACTTAGTTTCGTATGGTACTTTCTCACCCAAATTATAAAAATGAAAAAATAAATAAATAACATTGTAGTACTTTGTAGATTTACTTATTCTGGATTTATTTTGTTAATGTCGAAAGTTCAAATGAATTTGTTTAATATCATTCTAGAGAGACATGGTTTTTTGCTTTTGGCAGATGACACATGAAATAGGTTTATGTCAATCTCACGATAACAATGAAAAATAAAATATCCTGACTTGGAGAAGCAACCTGTTAAGATGCGTATATGTCTACGTAATGTAATATTTTTTACTTCACTCATTTTACCTTGTTATGTAATGGAAGTATGCACCCAAGAAATGGTGCTTGTTGAGATCTCGATTGGATGAAGAAATTCATCATCAGTAGGTTACTAGGTTAATAGAATTTTTTGGGAAATATAAGGCAAATGGTTAGATTTTTGGGTTTAAATTTAGGTTGTCCAGAACTATTTTAGGGGAATTGAATTCATGATGGCGGCGGCGGATGTGTTGGAATTTTCTGAAAGAAAAAATGATATGGTTTCTGAAGGTAAAGGATATTTGTTACTTCTCTTTGTCTTGAATTTTTTAGCATATAATCTTTGTTAACCGTTCAATTAGCAGGTACACATACGTAATGATTAGACATTCAATTTAACTTACTATTGTCGATATTGTATCCAACCTTTACAGTGTGATACATCCTAACAATTTTAATTTACTAATTTATTAACAAAAGTCTGGATATCAACTGCATAAAGGATAACCAAACAAATCTATAATCTTATTTGCAGTTTTATATATTCAAGTTTTGTAATATATTCAGTGATTAATATATATGAAGAAGTGTTCTTATTTTGTGTAAATTCCTTATATTAGGATTATGTTTTGGAAGGACAAGAAGTTTTTGAGAAAATTGAAGTGGTGAAGAAACTGGATTCAACATTGAGTTTTATGCTACTCACGAGATACTATTTGGCTCTTTTTATTAACTATATTATATGAATCACTATGTGGCTTGCATTAAATATCTATTTTTTTTCCTTTATTTACTTTTGGTGAAAGTTCTCCATTGATCTGATTTGGTGATTTGTAATTTCTCCACATCGGCTAAAGTAACATTTTAAATACTGACTTTAATACGTGGGTCATGATCAGTTCAATTGATAGTGTTTGCTTTTCCCTTTCTTCGGATAGTGTTACCAAGCACTGCTAATTGTCACAGACTCACAGGTAACCTGCAGAACAATGGCATTTACCGTCAAGCAAATGTCTCTGATAGTGGCAACCCTTGGAATTTTGTCCTTTGTGTTTAGAGTTATTGCAGAAAACAAGAAGGTATTACATTATACCTTTATAATCCGAGTAAAATTGGGATATTGTTACTTATATCATGCCCTTTGCAACTATCATTCTCAAACTTTGTTGGGGTTGAATGGCTATTACTCATTTATTGATAAATTGTATGAGCTTGCGCATCAGAAACCTAATATATTTATTTTGTACATGGCTGAACCATTGCAGGTACATAGCAAATCAATAAGTTTGATGAGCCGATACTAGATCAGGTGCCTGCTTTTGGTTCAGCAAGACACCCGACCAAATTCTACAGCTTGACCACGTCCTGTAGTAGTCCTACCACAGATGACATTGCGCACCAGAAATTTAAGAAAATATTTCATTTAATTATTAATGAATGCATTTCTCTTGCTCTCATATTTGTTACGTTTTGGAACATCCTGTTATACGTTTTAAAAGAAAGCAATGTACAGAAATTGCCAGATTTAAATTTCTTGATGAAGGTCAAAGTAAAACCAACAATTGGATATGTAAAGAAAATGTAGGAGACCATACAAGTGATAAAATGGGCCGGCTGTGCCCAAGTCTTCTAGTCCTCTTATATAATAAGAGGGAGTTTTTTCCTAATTTTTTATTCTTTTAACTTTCATTTTAAATGCGACACGTGTCCACCATGACTCTTTGATTTCGAAATGCGGCCGAGTGCATTCCAGCAGTTAAATTATTCACGGCTCAAATAAAATTTTTCTTGTGCCGACATTAGCAGGTTGGTAGTCATTTCCATCTTCAATCAGATTTTATTGGCAAAAATTTTGAAATAATCTCACGCCACTTTTGTCAAAGTGTTTTCGTGCAAGTCACTTTTAATCAATAAGTAGATCAAGACTACAATATATATATATATATATATATATATATATATATATAATTTGTTTTCTGTCTTATATTGGTGTTAGTCATACGAGGTGGCCATACCTATAATAATTTTTTTATATATATATATATATATTTTCTTCTTTGTTCGTTCAAAGACAGAAGAACAGAGTTTTTCATTGCAATAATCAGGTGGTAAGTCTTTTTCGTATTTATTCAGATACTAGTCAACACCCATGTATTACATGGGTGGCGACGGAACCTCGTCCCGTTCAGTTCATAGACGGATTCATAAAAGTGGGATGGGTATCCGGACAAGTCAAATTCAGGACCGTCTCGGACCGCGTCCACCCTTACTATAAATAATCAACATATTTATAGATAATCCGAACCTAAATTAAATCTACCCAAGCCTAATAACGAATCATGTAATTTTGCCACATAGGATCCCGAAACATGCGAGCCTGCCACATAGGCTCAACACGTTCTCAATTAATATATAGGGGGGATTTGCCAAATTTCTCACGCAACTAGCAATACATATAATAAAATATATCTATAGTTGTTATTGTTCGTTCTATTTAGTAAGAAAGCCGAGAGGAGAGGTTTAAGTCCAAAGCTACGAGAGAGAGAGAGAGAAATAGAAGAGGAGAACATATGCATATATAGTGTATACCTATTTTTCTTCTTCTTTCCAAGCGAAATTCAGAGTTCTTCTTCAATCCATTACGCTAAATTAATCTCAGAAAAATCATCTCTATGCATTCGAGTAATTCTTATTATATTAATCGATCCTTGAGCCACCCATGGACTAAGGTGGGTTCCAGCCCATGTAAAACAAAANAAATTTACTTATTTGATTATTATTGTTAAATATCCCTAGGTAAATTTCTTGTTAGCCCTTGAATTAGCCCAACAAGACAACAACAAAGCCCAAAAAAATTTAAAATCCATTGTTGGGTTTGTTAGAATCGGTACAACTCTCACTTTTCATCTCACAAAATAGACACAGGCTCTAAATTGATTGCCCCAGTTAATCTGTAATCTCCAAGTTTCAAATCCCTCGACTCTCATCCTTGTTCTTTCAAGCCTCTGCGAGGTGAACGGGACATCTTTCATCCAGCGCCGACGATTGCGAGATTGGTGTGCGGGTGCGGCAATTGCGAAGAACAGAGGAAGCGACACCTTCGGGCTTCGAGGATCGAGCAATTGCGGGCGGCAGCCAACAAGTGAGCGGGTCCGAGAGTGACTCCGAGCCCTTTATTTTTGGTTTATTGAGAGTATGAATTTAAATTGGTGTCAGACGTGAATTTTGTGAATTGCCATTTGGTGACTGGTTTTTCAATTTTTTCTGTCTATATCTTTGTTATGTAATTTGTCATAGACTCATAGGTTGATTTAGTTTTGGTTTGTCTCTTTGTATTGCCAATGTGAATTGAAAATTGAAAAATGTTTTTCTCCCAATTTGTGGTTTGTGGGCCTATGGCTGTGGCTATATTTGTTTTCTCACAAGTTTTAATAATTTATGTTGAAGTTGAGATAGGAACATGTTTTTAGTTTAATTATATGTGTTAATGTTTGTTGATCATGTACTCAATGCTTTCAAAGGTGTGGATGCTTGTTTGGCCTTTATAATAAGATTGTGTACAAAAACCCACAAATCATTCTTGATTATCTTTTTCTATTTATTTTTTTTTCGTATTTTTTAGATTGCTTATACCATCTAACTGTTTGATTAATTTACTAATTTTTGTTAACTTGATAGGTTTCAATCATAATGGAGGGTCAAAGTACGAAGAAAAGAAAAACTATTTCTTTATTTGATCTAATTTATTTAATTTATTTGACAGGTTAATTCGTCTGGTTTTCACTCTCCTATGCCTACGGCAACTACAGAGTGAGCGTTTTCGACTATGAAACTTGTTAAGACAGTTCTTCGTAATAAGATGGAAAAGATTTTTTGGTGGGTTTAATTGTTATTTACATTGAAAAGGAGTTAGTCGAAAAGATTAGTAATGATACTATAATCGTCGAATTTGAATCTAAAAAGAAGCGGAGATCGCAGTTTCATTAGCCCCAGGTATTTTAAAATTCTAGCTCCGCCCCTGTTCTTCATTATCACTAATATCACCTCTCTCAATCGCCGGCCACTTGCTTTCTTCCTCGCGGGCACCCTTTGCCGGAAAACGTTCGGCAACCCACAGTAAGCTTCGTCTATCCTTCTCAGCCGGCGACCTACCCCTGCGAGCAGTAACAAACGGCAAGTCTCAACCACCCACGAGCAGACCAAGCCTCAGTTCGCGACGAGCAGCGGCGGTATTTTTCTGCCGAATCCCGCCATTGTTGGGAGTAATCGGTGACCGTTGTTCAGCAGAAATCCTTCTCTGACATCGCCATAGCCGTGAGACGCGGAGGCGTGCATCTGCCAGGAAATAAAATTGACATGCACAAAATTTTTTCTCCATTTCCTCACTACACGAGCTTCATTTCATGATGTAACTTCGAGAATCCCGTCGGCCCTCCTTAGGCGGGTCGAACATTAGCGAGAGTTCTTTCGTAAAAGCACGAGAAGAGGAGAAGTCGCTTGAGGCGTTTATTTAGTATTTCGGGGTCCCGATAATTTATTTTCAATAGCCCGAGTTAGCGGGTGAATAGTAAAAAAATGATATAAATTGCTGAGGTCGAGTTCAAGCGTCCGATCCTTCGTTTTTCTCGATTTCTTTCAGTTTTTCGTCTATTGGAGTGGAGGTATTAAGTTTGACTATCTTTTTAATTAAATTTCAAGTTTAGTTTGAAGGATTAATTAAATTTATTATAATAATCAAATAAATATATGTATTAAGAAAAAATCATATGAGTTATTTAAGTGATATTGTGATGAAATTCGAACAACAAATATATGACTATGTATATTATTTATCTGTCAAGTTTCATAATTTTCAGAGTTATGGGTGATATTTGAAAAATCATGAAGTTTTGAGAATTTGTTTAATTTAATTTAAATTGAATTAATTTATGAAATATCCTTGGATAAAATCCTTGAGTACATATAGTCATAAAGTTGAGTAGTTTAAAAAGTTTCTTGTTCGATTAAGTCATACCGGTAGATTCCAGTTACTTTTACTTCAAGTTTTTCAATCTAAGTTTTATTCCGATAATTTTAGTACAGTGTTTCTTTATAGCTGGATAAGTTATCTAATACAGTCGAGCATCCTATCATTTTATTTAGACCTTCTCCAATCGATACTCAAAACGCAAAAAATGCAGTAAAAATTGCTCAATCGAACCCTAAACGCAATCACAAAATGATTTTTTTGGTTTCTCTCTCCTTGTTGAAACGCAAATATGCGTTTGAACGCATAAAATGCGTTGGATCTTTTCAAAATTCTATTCACTCCAATTGTTTTGACAAATTACATAAAAGGCCCACAATACAAGTAAAAATAAAAATAGATATTTTAAGTTTTAGTTTTTTTTTTTTTTTTTTGTTTTTGGTCGAAACGATAGAAGATTTATAAAACTAGGACAACGGGAACAACGTTCGAATACAAAGCAAACTAAAACTAGAAACATGGGAGGACACGCATGCAAGCGGCCTAGACGTCCCACTCGGACATAAACAAAACCTCACAACAGAAATATGAACAAGAGCAAGAAAACTAAACCACTGCAAGAAGCCTAGTTTAGAATCCCTACCCTAACAACAAATTAAAAACAGAAAAGCAGCAAAAGCCAACAACAGAAAAATTATAATGAAGAAAACTCAATCCATTCCCTCGTTGCGCAACGGAGAATGAGTTGAGGAGAAAGGTAAGAGCCTTCAAACAACCAGAGATTTCGGGATCGCCACAACCACCATAGCATATAGGTAGTTAGTTGGATCCTTTCTTCTGCCACCTCACATTTGATGCTCGAGCAAATATGTCTCCACCAAGAGCTGAAATGAAGATTTGGTTCTTTGAGGCTTTCCCATTGGATAGGGCTGATATCCCACAGTCTAGCAGCTTTCTGACAGTAAAAGAAAACATGTTCCACTGTCTCTGGTCCCTCTCCACAACTTTGGCAGCAAACATCAATGTTCAGCCCTTTAACAAACAAAGCAGTTTTGACAGGAAGAGTTCCTGAACAACATTTCCACAGAAGTTGCTTGATTTTGCTGTTGATCCTCAGTTTCCAAGTTAAGTTCCTGGCTGCTTTGGTAGCCTTTGAAGTAGTGCTACTTTCAGGAATGTCCAGTTCTTGAACCTTGCTCAGAATCAAATCAGTGTAAATTGAGGAGACAGTGAAAAGGCCTTTATTGTTCAAGCTCCAGAAATTCCTGTCAGGCCTATTAGGATTAATGGTGGAGATGTTTAAAATGGCTGCACTCTCTGTTTCATTGAACACATTCTGAACCAACCAATTGTTCCAACCAGTTTGTCTGTCATCAAAGAGATCTTTAACCCAGATTAGGTGTCCTCTAGCTATAGGCAGCAGGTTAGGCTTCTTACCTTTTAGGAGTGGCACCCAACTAGGATCTTCAATCTTTGTATCAACCCCATTTCTAACTTCAGTTCTGAAGCCTCTAGCAAAGTCTGGGAGGATAGTAACCCAACTGTTCCAAAGCCATGAGCTATTTTGAGTTTTTGTAGCTTCGAAAATAGTTGAGGATGGGAAATACCTGCTTTTAAGA